CAACCACACTACCTGGGGTATACGAGGCATTCATTTCTTTCTGGTATAATTCCTCTGTGTATTCTTGCCACCTCTTCTTGATGTCTTCTGCTTCTGTTAGGTCCTTTCCACTTTTGTCTTTTATTATGGTAATCTTTGTACGAAATGTTCCTTTCATATCTCCAATTTTCTTGAACAGATCTCTGGGTTTTCCCATTCTATTGTTTTCCTCTATTTCTTTGCATTGCTCGTTTAAGAAGGCCTTCTTGTCTCTCCTTGCTATTTTTTGGAAATCTGCATTCAATCTCCTGTATATTTCACTATCTCCCTTGCATTTTGCTTGCCTTCTCTCCCCTGCTATTTGTAAGGCCTCGTTGGACAGCCACTTTGCTTTCTTGCATTTCGTTTTCATTGGGATGGTTTTAGTTGCTGCCTCCTGCTAAGAAGATGCCAGCATGCTTAACAAGCAACATCGAATAAGTTATCAGAAGCAAGTAGTATTCCTTCAGAGCATGGAAATCCCCTCCAAATAAGAAGAAGAAAAGAGAGCACAAATTTTGCCACAAGTTTCTCTGGAACACAAATGGGCACAGTGGGAACCAGGGGGCATACAGTCGAAAGGAGTGTAGTAGTGAAAGTCTGGTTCATCTGCCAGAAAACCTCCCACCGCCAGTGCAAAGCATCCGCTGTCCAAAGTGCAGTAATTTGGGGAAGGTTTTTTCACCATTTACTGGATTATCCTCAGGCCAGCGAAATCCAAATTCATTGGAGGAAATGTACAAGATCACCGTTCTTTTTCCCCTCTTTGTTTTAAAATTTTGCTTTATTGTTCATTTATACCTATATACAACATGAAATCATAATCATCTTCTTCAGTCAAATAAACATTTCATTGATTACCAAAGTAATCCTCTCCATACAGCTATCCTTTTAATTACATATAGTATATAATTTTGTCATTGTTACTTAATAAACAATCTGTGGCGATCACACAGGGTCCCCGGACATTTCACATCTGACTGGTTATAAATCAAGGAATTCATCAATGGTAGAGAGTATTGCTTCCTGGGTGGGAGAGTTGAAAACCTTCTTTGCCCGATTTGAGGTGACACCAACAGTGACTTCAACAGGGATGCCAGAGCTATTGGCATCACTACCTCTACAGGAAATGCTGCCAGGGTGGAAGAGGGAGAAGTGAGGCAAGTACTAAAGGAGGTAAACATGAGGAAGGCTATGGGCCTGGATGGGGTGGCTGGCAGGGTGCTAAGAGATTGTTCGGACCAACTGGCAGGAATCTTTACGAAGATTTTTAACCAGTCTCTGGCCCAAGCCACTGTTCCACCCTGTCTGAAATCCGCTACCATTATACCCCTGCCAAAAACATCAAAGATAGGCAGTCTGAATGATTTTCGCCCTGTGGCGTTGACACCCATTATAATGAAATGTTTCGAAAAACTGGTGAGGAAGCGCATCTTATCTTGTCTGCCAGTGGGACTTGACCCTTACCAGTTTGCGTACAAGGCAAAGAGATCCACAGAGGATGCTGTGGCAATGGCTTTACATGCTGTCCTGACTCATTTGGAGAAGCAAGGGAACTACGTGAGACTGTTATTTGTAGACTTTAGTTCTGCATTTAATACTATTCTTCCGCATAGATTGGTGCCCAAATTATTAGATCTGGGACTTCCACCATGTTTGTGCAGGTGGATATTAGATTTTCTATCAAACCGTTCCCAAAGGGTCAGGTTGGGTTCCCACGTCTCTGCAGATCTCATCACGAATACGGGGACGCCGCAGGGGCGCGTGTTGAGCCCGCTTTTATATACGCTCTATACAGCTGACTGTGCCCCCAAATACCCCAGTAATAAGATAATTAAGTTCGCAGATGATACAACGGTGGTTGGTTTAATCACAGCTGGAGAGGGGGAGGCGGCCTATAGGAAGGAAGTTGAGCAGTTGGGGGAGTGGTGCAGGAAAAAACAACTTACTCCTTAACTTAAAGAAAACAAAAGAGATCATTGTGGACTTTAGGAAATGTAAATTGAATATTCAGCCACTTATTATTGAGGGGAAGTGCGTGGAACAGGTCTCAGTGTTTCGATTTCTGGGAATGGAGTTGAGAAACGACCTAACCTGGGGAGAGAAAAGGCAAAGACCTGGTGAAGAGAGCACAGCAGAGGCTATATTTTTTGAGAATCCTCCGGAAAAACAATCTCTCAAAGGACCTGTTGATGGCATTTAACCATTGCACTGTGGAGAGCGTACTAACTTATGGTCTGTGTGTATGCACTGTGGAGAGCGTACTAACTTATGCACTGTGGAGAGCGTACTAACTTATGGTCTGTGTGTATGGTTTGGGAGCTGCACGGCCAGGGAAAATACAATGCTATCCAGGGTTGCAAAGACTGCAGAGAGAATAATTGGGTGCACTCTTCCAACCTTAGATCAAATCTATGCTGCTAGGTGCCATAAAAAAGCGGCAGAGATAGCACAGGATAGTACGCACCCCGGAAATGATCTCTTTCAGCTTCTGCCTTCTGGAAGAAGGTATAGGGTTATAAAGGCCAGGACTAGCCGCCTGAGAAACAGTTTCTATGCAAATGCAATTCTGGTTCTAAACGCAGCATAAGGGGTTTCTACAGTTTAGTGTATTTTAAAATAGGGTTTTAGAGTTTTTAGGGGTTTTTGAATGTTTTATGTAGTTTTATGTAGTTTTTATGTAGATTTGTGGTAGTTCTATGGTAGTTTTATGTAGTTTTTGTGGTAGTTCTATGGTAGTTTTATGTAGTTTTTGTGGTAGTTTTATGGTAGTTTTATGTAGTTTTTATGTAGTTTTGTGTAGTTTTGCAATTTCATTGTCCTGCATGGGACAATGACAATAAAGATATCTATATCTTTCTATATTGATCCCTGTGCCACCATTATATTTCTCGCTGCCACCACCCAGGCCCTACCGGGTAAAATACTGAGTCCAGTTAGGGTTAAATTGGAACATAAACTTCTGTTTATTTATTGCAGTTTAACAAGCCTGTGGTTTCATAAACTGTCTCAGTCAATTACGATCATGGAGTGCCTATCCAGACCTATAACTTCTGCTACCTGCTCTCACTCACTAAACCACCTCTCAGATATTTACTTGTCTTCCTAGCTCCTAACTGTTCCTGACTCAGCTTATTTCGCTACACTAACTCAACCTACCCACAGACTCTATCCCAATTCACTCCCACTCCAACCAACCACCTTGGCCTTCTTGTCATACCAATTTTTTTGCTTGGTTTGGGCACTTTTTTAACACACACACACACACACACACACACACCGCTAACTCTAGGGATCCCTTTAAGGTATTCTACAAATTAAACAAATACTCCACTACGGACTCTGGATCTTGATCTCGCTGTTCTTCCCAATTCATGCAAAGTAAGTCCAGGGGCCCTTTTACGTCCCAGCAATCATTCAAATGGGCTAAACCCAGTACTTTCTTAGGGTACATCCCTATATGCATACGGTAGTGGTTGCATCTTGTCATCCCAATTACTGGGATTTTCGGCAGTATGGGTTTTAATCATTCTCATTAGGGTTCCATTAAATCTTTCAACTAATCCATTAGTTTCAGGGTGGTAAGGTGTTGATGTTAAATGCTTAATACCACACACTTCCCATAGCCTTTTCATTAGTCTTGATGTGAAAGAAGAAGTCAAGTCAGTGACTATTTCACTGGAAAAGCCCAATCTACCCATATAGTTAATTTAAGCGCTTGCCACCATTTCCGTTTCAATGTTTCACAACGGAATGTCTTCTGGATATTTGGTTGTGTAATCCACTATGGTGAGGATGTATCTGTTTCCCTGCCTGCTGGCTCTAGGCAATGGCCCTATCAGGTCCAGCCCTAACCGTTGAAAAGGGGTTGATATGATAGGCAAGGGGCACAGTTTGGCTTTTGTTTTGCCTTGACCGGTGCCACTTCTCTGACATATGTCACAGGGTTGACGGTATTGTTTTATTTGTTTCCCCATGCCTGGCCAGTAAAAATTTTGAGCAACTCTCCGTTTTGTTTGTGTGATCCCCATACACGCTCCAAATACACTATTGTGAGCGTGCTGCAGGATTTTGCCCTGGTATTCATGTGGGATTACTAACTGTCTTCTCACTTCTTCACCCCCACCCTACCCAGATGGTGGGGAAGGACTTCTCGATATAAAAGGTCCTTGCTCAAACAAAAATGTTCTGGGCACTCAGGAGTTAACGGCCTCTCCAACTCGGCTGCCTCAGAGTACATTTGTAACTCAGTATCTTCTTTTTGCTTTTTGGCAAACTTGGGGTTTGACTTTTAGTCAAAGGAAACAAAAAGGTGTCTTTTCCTTCCTCGCACAGATTATCCCCTTGCTGTCATTCAGGATTGTTTGCCTCTGCTACTGTATCCACCCCCTCAGGCGTAGGTGACTGTGAGCTCCTTTTTGCTCTGGTAACTATGAAAGAACTCTGCACATGTTCTAAAATGTCCCAACCAATGAGCACAGGGGTGGGAATTTCTTCCGAAAGGGCTACCTGCCACTTCCCTGCCCAGTTTTTGAACCTGACATCCCAGAAGATGTAGTGATTCCAATCAACTTGGATAGCTCAGAAAGAGTATCAGATAGGTTCATGGAGGGTAAAGCTATCAATGGGTACAAACCACAAGGGCTGTGTTCTGCCTACGCTGTGGCTATGGATATTACTTTCTGGAAATTGTAAGTGAGGAGAGTGCTATTGCATTCAGTTTCCTGTTTGGAGGCTTCCCATAGGCATCTGGAGGAGTAGACAGGGCCTTTCTTGCCTGGTCCAGCAGAGTTCCTCTTATGCTTTTCTACTCTTATTAAGCAACGGCAAAAATAAATGTGCAAGCAACTGACACCTTCACATGGCCAACAGCATGCTGCCATCCGGTTTGAATATTGTGAGATGGGTTTTACACTAAAAGGGGGAAAGTGTCTATTTTAAGCAATGACAGAAGTTTGAGTAAAGTAGGACTAGAGGGACACTGAGAGTTAAATGGTGCTTTTAAACAAAATCAGAGGTTTGCATTGCCACGGGGAATAGCACAGAGTTTATAAGGATGGGGATGTGTTGTAGCCCCTAGTAAAGGCTCTTGATTGAGTTCTTTCACTCCTTCTGGCAGCTGGAAGCTGAATTTTCTCAGCAAGCTGGTCAGGAAGATGAAGATTTCGATCTTTGCCAGCTGCATTCCCAAACAAATGCGAGCCCCTGAAGAGGAGACATGGGAAAGTCAGCAACTGAGTAATAATTTACTTATCAGTGTAAATTACTTCGCAGCTATAAAACATGCTATACTGTATAATACTGTGGAGAACTAGACATAGTTAGGAAAGTGAAATAATCAAGAAGAAGAGGAAGAGGAAGAGGAAGAGGAAGAAGAAGAAGAAGAAGAAGAAGAAGAAGAAGAAGAAGAAGAAGAAGAATTTATACCCCGCCCATCTGCCTGGGTTTCCCCAGCCACTCTGGGCAGCTTCCAACCAAATATTAAAAACATGATATAGCATTAAGCATTAAAAACTTCCCCAAACAGGGCTGCCTTCAGATGTCTCCTAAAAGTATTATAGTTGCTTATTTCCTTGACATCTGCTGGGAGGGTGTTCCACAGGGCAGGCATCACTACCGAAAAGGTCCTCTGCCTGGTTCCCTGTAACCTCACATCTTGCAGTGTGAGATCACCAGAAGGCCCTCGTCGCTGGATCTCAGTGTCCGGGCTGAACGATGGGGGTGGGGACGCTCCTACTGGGCTGAGACACTTTGGGGTCAACACCAAAACTTGGAAACGGACTGGGAGCCAATGTAGGTCTTTCAGGACGAGTGTTATATGGTCTCGGCGGCCACTCCCAGTCACCAGTCTAGCTGCCGCACTCTGGATTAATTGCAGTTTCCAAGTCACCTTCAAAGGTAACCCCACGTAGAGCACGTTGCAGTAGTCCAAGCAGGAGATAACTAGAGCATGCACCACTCTGTGGAGACAGTCTGTGGGCTGGTAGGGTCCAGGGAGTCCTCCATACCCACCCGCCCCCTGTCCCCCAAGAACAGTACTTCTGTCTTGTCACTATTCAACCTCAGTCGGAAGTGGGATAGTTTAACTGCAGACTCAGTTCTGAATATAGTTTCATAGCAGGCATTCCATGAAAAGAGGTGGGGGAGCTTTAGCCTTGTCACCTGAAAAGAAGTTGGATGGCATCCAGCTGTGACGTGTGACAGGGAGCAACAGCACCCTGGTGCTGGCAGTGTTACCTCTCTCAGGGACAGGGCAATGGGGTGGAAAGTGTGAAGTGTGAACCCCATAAGGGTTTGGGTACCTGTGAGTCCAAAAGCAGCCACCCAGAAATTCCCTAAATTATCAACAGCCTTGCCCCATCCTGCTGACCAGCAGTGCCACTCCTGCCAAGGGGACATTGCATCCATTCTGCTCTACTCTCTTGCTGCTGATGATGTCATTTCCTGGAAGCCAACCAATAAGCATGTCTATAGACCACAACTCAGCTTGGACTTTTGCATTCACCTGCACCAAATGGCAGATATTCTTCTCTGTCCACAAATTGTCCATTCTTGTCCAAGAAATGATTTGGGTTGAACTCTGCAGGAGTCTCCCATCGTGTTGGATCAAGAAGAACAGAGCGCAGATCAAGAAGAATGGCAGTCCCCTGGAAATAAGAAAGAATTAACTTGGAATGCATTCAGATCAACACATTCCAGGATTCTCCCTCACTCTCCCAGGACGAATCTTTGCAGAGTTCCAACTGAATTGAAACTCAGTTTTGAGGGGACAGGTTGGTATTTAACAGTGGCCATATTCATCCTCAACTTCTTTCTATTAAAAAAATATTTCTATACAAGCAGAAACACAGCCTCCCCCAACACCTGTTTCAAAAAGGCCTCGCTGAGACCTTTGGCCACTGCATGCTCCTCTGAGGTGCCACATGGCCCCAGGAATAGCACTAGTGAAACATGTCTGCAGGTGGAACTCCTGTTTTAGACTACACAGGAAGTTCCTGCATGGCTGGGGGCATCTCTGAATATGCAACCTACTCATAGACTCTTGGGATACAGGCATGCAGTTGTATCACTCTTCTTTACCTTGGGAAAGAGAAAACCACGCATCTTCACATCCTTTGTACATTGCCTAGGAGCCCCAATAAATAAGACATATTTAAAGCGCTGCATTTCATGAATCACAGCATTGGTGTAGGGCAGCTTCTTCGTATCTTGATAGCAGATTGTGTGAGAAGAACCTAAAGCATCTTCTATCTCCTTGTGGACTTTATCTGAAGAAAATTATGGAAACAGAAGCTTTATTTTGAATATATAAACTTCATTCTCCCCCCAGTACTTGGCATGGGCTAGAGCAGTAGCCAGAAGATCAAATGGAAAACAGATAATCCAAAGTTTGTTTTGTTTAAAGGGAACTACATAACAAGGAAGATTAGGAGCCTCACCAATTGTTGGGGTGGATCTACACACGGGGGGGGGGACTGGGACCACTATAAATAAATCAATAATTAAATCGTTATAACAAAAGAAAAGAAAAAGCTATGTAAAAATTGCATAGAAATTTCTTTTAGTCTCTGGTGCCATCTGGTGTTGCATATTTATAACACATTGACAACTTTTCTGTCTAATGTAGCTGGGTTCTTGGCAGTGGCATAGGAAGGGAGAGGGGGCGCACCGCTCCGAGTACCATCCTGAAGGGGGCGATATTTGGCACGGGGCCCCTCACCCCGCAACTCCCAAGCCAACGCCGGCACAAGTGGCAAAGCATCAGCAACCACCGTCCCCCTGCCTGCCTCCCCAGCTCACTGCAAGGCGGGCCAGGTCCTGCTCTCCCTGCCCGTCTATGTCCCATCCTTAAAGGCTCCTGCGGAGATGTAGCTGCAGCTCCCCCCCCCCCCGCGCCATCATGTCCAGAGCGTCTTTGCAGAGCGTGCCTGAGCATGTTGCTTTTGGTTTCCCCGCAGCCCTCATTTAAAAGCCTGCCGCGCGCAGTCCAAGGTCTTTGCTGCTTTTGTTGGGGGATTCAGTGAGCTGTAAATTATCCCGTGAGTTTTACTTGGCAAACTGGGGGGGGGGGACCCTGGGAGTTTTCTTCTTCTTTTGTCTTTGCGCTCCAGTACTCAAGGGGTGGTGGTGGAAATGAATTGCTGAGAGGAGATTCACATTGTTCTGTTCTTTGGGGTTTTTTTAACTCTGGGAGGAGTGCGGTTTGCCACCCGATTTTGTTTTGCTTTTTTCCCTCTGGAAGGGCGTCCAAGGATTTCCTGTGTTTACTCCCGAGTAAGCAAACTTTGGATACAACCCAGTAAGTTTTGCTAATAGGAGAGGAAAATACATATTCCCCCACAATGCCGTTTTAGCAGTTTCTGTTGTGTCTCTAGGCTCATCCTTGCCTGTTGTCTTCTTCTGCTTATTTTTTTAAGCACCAGCCACTTGTCTTCTGGAACACGCTGCACTCCCTTCATCACTGAGTTGCCCTTTTGAGTTAATTCTCTTGTTCTGTGATGGCATGTGTGCATGTGACAAGAAGAGCATTGTACATGTTTCCATGCTACATTCACACATTACGCTTCCTGCTGTTTCATTCATGCATGTCTTTCAAACTAAGATTGAATGGTGCTTTTTTCCTTTGCCAGATGAGAACGACACTTTTCAGAAAGCTTTTCACTGTGACTCCAGAAACCCTTTATGTGGATTTGGCCCCTATTGGATCTGATGTGATATTATAGATTTCTGAGAGAGAGAGAGAAAAGACGGTGGTCCGGGCTCCTGTCCATCGCTCTGAGCATGGGCATAGCTGGGGGGGGGGGGCAGTGCCCCCCCCCCAGATACATAAAAATCATTTTAAAGCCAGTAGCACATGTGAAAAGGATCTAGGCCACAAGTTCAACATGAGTCAACAGTATGATGCAACAGGGGGAAAGGCCAATGCTATTCTAGGCTGCATCAGCAGAAGTGTTGTTGTTGTTGTTGTTGTTGTTGTTGTTGTTGTTGTTGTTGTTAATTGAATTTATATACCGTCCTATGCCTGGGTGTCTCAGGGTAGTTCACTGAATAAGAAGTATAGGGAAGTCACAGTCCTACTCTCTTCTGCCTAGATCAGACCACACTTGGAGTCCTGTGTCCAGTTCTGGGCACCCCAGTTTAAAAAGGAAATTGACACATTGGAACGTGTGCAGAGGAAGGCAACCAAGATGATCAAGTGTCTAGAAACCAAGCCTTATAAGGAACAGTTGAGGGAGCTGGGTATGTTTAGCCTAGAGAAGAGGAGAGGAGAGATGATAACCATCTTCAAATACATTGGTACCTCCGGTTACAGATGCTTCAGGTTACAGGCGCTGTTGGGATTTCTATATCTGACCAGCTGCGAAGAGCAGCTACATTGTTGACATCATGTGATGTCTCTGAGTGTGAGACAGGAAGTCTCTGCTAGTTCTCATGTAACCGGAGAGTTCCTTTCGCTTCTGAGTCGAAGTGTGAGTCGAGTCAGAGACTCTTGTGTTTGCAGCTCAGGAGAGCAGTCATGCTTGTAAGAGCTGCGTGTACAGTCCTCCCTGTGGAACGCCCTCCCACCAGATGTCAAAGAGAACAACAACTACCAGACTTTTAGAAGACATCTGAAGGCAGCCCTGTTCAGGGAAGCTTTTAATGTTTGATGTATTAGAGTATTTTAATATTTTTTTGGGAAGCCGCCCAGAGTGGCTGGGGAAGCCCAGCCAGATGGGCGGGGTACAAATAAAATTATTATTATTATTATTATTATTATTATTATTATTATTATTATTATTATTATGTAGTGAGTAGACTACGGACTGTCTCTTGCTTCTGTGATGGGATGCCAGAAGATCAGTGTGCTCCTCTCAGGATGGAGGGGTCGCTTATTACCGGTCTCTCTGGACTGAGGGAGGATTCCAGCTAGAGAGTGACCACCATAGAGAAGCCACGGTTTCTTGGGAAGTTGGCACCCTTCCCAGGGGCGTTTTTCCAACAGACGCTTCAGGTCACAGATTCTGCTAACCCAGAAATAGTACCTCAGGTTAAGAACATTGCTTCAGGATGAGAACAGAAATCGGGTAGCGGTGGCAGCGCAGCGGCAGCTGGAGGCCCCATTAGCTAAAGTGGTACCTCAGGTTAAGAAAGTTTCAGGTTAAGAACCGACCTCCAGAACGAATTAAGTTCTTAACCCAAGGTACCAGTGTACTTTAAGGGTCATCACATGGAAGATGGAGCAAGCTTGTTTTCTCCTGCTCCGGAGGGTAGGACTCGAACTCATGGTTTCAAGTTACGAGAAAAGAGATTCCACTAAACATCAGGAAGAACTTTCTGACAGCAAGAGCTGTTAGACAGTGGAACAGTCTCCCTCAGGAGTTGGTGGGCTCTCCTTCCATGGAGGTTTTTGAGCAGAGGCTGGATGTCAATCATTTTCACGAAGGGATTATTTATGGATATCTGTCATGGATGCTTTAGTTGAGATTCTTGCATTGCAGGAGTTGGACTAGAAGACGCTACGGTCTAGTCTGTGGCTGAGGCATTGCTTTTGGTAACATAGGGAGCTGCCTCATGCCTAGGGGTGTCCGGCTTTCTTGGGGGAGGGGGTTGCTCTCATTGACAGATTTCAATTTCAATGTTGGGGGGGGGGGTTGACAAAGAAAATTCTGCACCGGGTACCTCCTGACCTTGCTACGCCTCTGGTTCTTGGTAAGGCATGAGAATGTTCTCTCAAGGTCCAAAGCATTCAGAGAGAAAGGAAGAAGTAACCCTGAATTTCATGTTGTTGTTACGTTATAAAAACTGAATGTGCTTCATAAAGAAGAACGAATAACGTGAAAGACAGAAGGGGATATGTATGGTCCTGGCTGAATATTGGGAGGGGGTCTATTAAGGATAACATTTTAAAGTTTCACAGGTATAAGGTTCACCCTCCTCCAGTACTTAGTAGGGATAGTGTTAAGGGGGACAGAACAGTAGCAGGAAGATTCAGTCTGGGAAAATGGATATTGTCAAGTTGTTAGGGTGTTTTTGCTTAAAGGAACAGCATAACAAGGAAAACAAAGAGTCTTCATGAATGCTTTTGAGGACTGTGAAGTTTGAAGAGAATGCTCGGGTTAAAGAAGATTATATAATTACCATTATTATTATTCAGAGTGTTGAGAACGCATAAAGGAAGACAAATAAGTTGTATAGGAGGAAATATGATTTGAAACTATGATTGATGGTTATATGGTTAGATAAAGGAAGAATAACTCTACTTAAATAACTGGGGAAATGTTATAGTTAAATGAAAATCTAAGCAGGGATTTAAATATGCACAGCCAGTGGAAATTGAGAAAAGGATGGAAAAGTAACAGAAATGAGGGGAAACTATGTTATTGTTTCTTTTCTCTCGTTCCTTTGCTGCTAACATTTTGAACTGGGAATGGGAGATAATCAACTTTAAAATTTGTTGTAAATTTGAATTAATTTGCTTTCAATTTCTTATTTTTTTTGGAAAATCATTAACAATTAATTGACACAAGAATTACAGTCCACTCTAGATATCAAAGGAAGCCCTGCACAGGTTTCCCTGTCTCACCTTGGATATCTGGATGACTTGCCAGGAGGAGAAGTGCCCATTTCAGAGAAGTGGTGGCTGTGTCTGTCCCTGCTACAAAGAGCACGGAAATACTATAAGCCATGTTTTCTTCATCATAGGTGGACTCTGGGTCGTTTTTGCTCTGATTTTGAAAACGGGGAAAGTGTCATGTCATTTACATGCATTACAATCTGTCCTTCAGCACTTATTACTCCCCCTGCTCCTATTAGCATACCACCAACACATGAGGGGTGAGGTGTCCTCTTACACTGCCTGAGGTGACATAGGAAGTTGCCACCTCCACTGCCCTGCTCTCACTGCCACCTCCGTTACTTTGGTCACACAGCAGTGCCCACAATGTGCTAACAACAACAGTGAGGACAGTGAAATCTTGCAAGCTTTTGGTGAAATCTTGCAGGAAACTGCCACCGCTCCACTTCTCCACTACTGGCAGGCTAGGATGCCTCCTGTCAGAGCTGCCTCAGGTCCCAGCTCACAGAGGACCAACGCCAGTCCGTTGTGATATAAAATGGTCTTTATTGAAGTTCAGTTTCTCTTTTACAGCCACGGCGCGCAGCTCTACGTCTTAAACCCTAGACCGCCGAAGCTCCGTCTGAGTCTCCTCCCCCCAGACACCAGTTTAAGACCCTAGCCTTGCTCCACCTCTTCCTCTGCTCCCTCCTCCTCTGGGTCCGCTTGTCCGCCGAGGTCCTCCCCTTCCTAGACTCTTCTGACGCTGAGTCCCCTGAGTCTTCCCCCTCCCTCCGGCGAGCTTTAGGACCTGGTTCCCAATCCAGGTTTTCTGCTGTCCCGCGCGCCTGTACATTTGAACTTGGCGTGCGCGCCCAGCCTGCCACCTTCCTTCTGACTGTTATACTGCTCCTGTCGCTGCTTCCCTCTTCGGGGATGCTAGCTGGGTCTGACTCCTCCTCCCTGCTTGCCGGAGGAGACGCTGACTCTGACCTATGGGGCTCTTCCCCCCACTACGCTCTGGTGGGGAAGCTGGTCCTGATTTCCAGCTACTGCTTTGGGAGTCTCCGCTGGCCCCCTGCTTCTGGTGTGTCCCCCCTGGGACCCCCCTTGCCCTGGCCATCGGCGCCCCCTTCTGGGAATCTTCTGATTCACTGGAGAGGCTTATGGAATCTCTCGGGTCACTGTCATTCTGCCCTCCGCTGCCCTCAGATTCTTCCCCTTCGCTCTCCATTTCCTCTCTCCCCTGCGCCTCTGCTCCTGAGCCCCTGACACCTCCTGTTGCCATTCCACTGCCCAAGGCAGCTGCCTCAGCCTGCCTCTTGGGTGGGCTGGCCCTGTGCTTCATAGCTGGTTGTGACAAGAGACCCATGCACACATTCCTGTGTACACAGCGGTAGCTGCTGGTGCTGCATTTGAGAATCTGTGGGTTGGGGTAATAATCCAACACTAGCAGGTGATGAGGGATACAAAAGAATCTCTCTGGCAGCAGGTATTCAAAATGTGCATTACTTACCACTAAACATATTTAACCATTCTTTAGTCAATCTTTGAGTGTTCAAAGATTGTTCCAAGAAGGCAAGATGAAAAAAATATTTTGACCTTTCTAGTGTAGGAATAAATGAGGCAAGAGTTTGAAGTCATATTTAGTTTAGGAACATTTTCTTTAGGATTTGTTTCGCCCCCTGCTGATGAAAGTGAGGAGTGATGTTTCCTCTTGCAATGCATTGAAATGTGTAATGAAACGGCTGCCACAAGACACTTGGTGAGTTGGCCATTCATACTATTTGGGCATTCTTACTGTTTGGGCACCACAGGCAACATTTCAGGGGTGAGTATGTTCCCATGAGGTATAACAGGGGTTTTCAAACGTTTTTGCCCACTGCCCTGTTGGATCCATCATCTGATCTCCAGTGCCCACTACCCTAATAAAAAACATTATGCAAGATTAGTGGTTTGCACAACTCACTAAGAAAAATAATAATCCAATAAAATTGAAAAAAGTAACTCAATGTCATTTTCAACTGAGATTCAGGAAAAAAATATTGGTGTCCTTGGAAGAGATTAGCATTCACTTATAACAGGGAATATAATGATTCCTTGGATGAGCAGCATTCAGTTTCAAAGCAGATACTTACTTTCTCCATCTGAAGCAGATAGAAATCAATGAGATCCTGTGGATCATGCAGAGACTGATTCTCCTTATGCTTCTCTATCTCCTCCTTTGCATATGAAAGCACCATCTCCATGCAGGACAAGGCCTTCTTGTGGGGCCCTGGGAGATGTTTCATGAGCCATGGGAGCATTTCATAAAGCTAAAGGAAAGATAGCAGACATGCCGTCATTACCATGAGGAAGCTTGGTCATGCAGTTCATGAGTCAATTCATTTGAATTAGTACTTAAAACATGACCCAGATTATTCTTCAGAGCTAGCACATTAGTTTGGGTCTCCCTGAGAAGAAGGTAGGAGTCTGCAGCTTCTCTTGAATCTCACAAGGACTGGTTCTGGGAAATATCTCTAGCCAAATATGTGGAAAAAAACTAGGGGTCAAAGTATTTGTTGGGAAGTGGGGGTGGCTAGAGAATACAATTGGGGAAAATTCAAGTCAGTTCACATTTAAGAGTGAATTTGCCTGATAGGCAAATTGAAACACAGCAATCCTTTGAAATGTGCAGTTCTCCAAATCTTGCAATGCAGTTGTAAAATTCATTTTTTTAATTTTTTTTATTAAATTCCCCAGTTCCCTAGTCAAGTAATGCCCATCTCTTCCTTCAAAAAATCAAACCTTTAACAAGGGAGCTTTTCCTCTTTCCTAGTTTTCTCATGAAAGATAAATTACTTACATTTTCTGAATACACCTCTCTAGCAAACACTTTGGAGGTTGGGTCTCTTCCATAGCCTTTCCTTGCAAGAACTTTGTTCCCAATAACAAATAATATTAAATAAGACAAATACATATCTTGGGTTTGCATCATGGCAATCTGAGGTGAGAGGGCGGAGAAAAGAGCCGATCCCCATATAAATAAATGCTAGCCAAGAGGTCTCAGGGTAATGAGAAGGAGGAGGCAAGGAAGAGGCAGGAGAGAGAGAGAAGGGGGAGGCAATGGCGAATTCATTTCCACATACCAAGGTTTGAACGGGACATTTGAAGAAGAATGTGGTGAATTTGACAAGGCTCTGGGTGAAATTGATCAGGAGGAGGGAGGCAAAGCATGCCTCTCAACACAGTTCTGCTTGAGATTTTGTTTGGCAGGTAAAAAAAATTCTTATTTTAAGAGAAGCCGGTGAGGGAGGGATGTGGAGCACAGCAGGATGGGAAGGAGAAGTGTTAAAGTTTGCCTTTTGGTGGCTTGTTGCAGCCAGCAGAAGAAGAGGGGACAGAGAAACACATTACAGCATGGGTAGGCAAACTAAGGCCCAGGGGCTGGATCCGGCCCAAGTGCCTTCTAAATCCGGCCCGTGGATGGCCTGTTAATCAGCGTGTTTTTACATGAGTAGAATGTGTATTTTTATTTAAAATGCATCTCTGGGTTTTTTTCTGGGGCATAGGAATTCGTTCTTTCCCCCCTTTTTTTCCAAAATATAGTTCAACCCCCAACAAGGTTGGAGGGACAGTGGACCAGCCCCCTGCTGATAAAGTTTGCTGACCCCAGCATTACAGAGAAAGAAAAGGGGGGGGGCTCAATCTCAGATTAGATTTAAACCTCATCTCCGTTCTCCAACACTCTATCCTCTATCATAATGGAATTCAGAATGCTCAGTGGGGAACATAAGGCCCCTGGGAGACTTCTCTGAATCAGCAGGAATGAAAATGACTACTCACAGCATGAACGAAGCTTCCTAGAAATTTTGAGAGAAAATCCAAGTCTTCTATCAGCTTCTGGAACTGTTCATCCTCAAGAGCAAACCGGTGCCCAAAAGCCACAGCACATATCACGTTGGAGACTGAATTAGCGATGGGCATGGAGGGGTCAAGTGGTTGTCCTGCAAAATAATGTTATACTAATGTGAGTTCAGCTGCTCCTGTTCATACTGAGAGTGGGATTTCATGGTGGCCAAGAGAAACTGCTGGGATCTCCATTAGGAACCAAGAAAAACATATCGCATTCCTTTCTAAAATGGACAGAGGTAGGACACAAATATATCTCCATATGCCAGCTCAGCACCATCACTTAGCATCACATACCCTTTGAACGTGCAAAAACCTCCACGAGCTGACGGGCCTCCTCTGCTATTTGCTGCTCCATGCCTTTCTTCCCCAGTCCCAGCTTCCGCAGAGTGACTACACCAAAGCGTCTATGTTGCCTCCAGGTGTGACCATTTGAAAATATAATACCTATGAAAAATTAGTGAGAAATTCTTCCTTACAGAAATTAATGTTACAATTAAGTTACCAGCCAAGAATAAACTTTGTTTACTGAAGTTCATGCCCTTGAATGTGCAAGCTATTCAGTATCTCTGAGGCAAACAATTACAAGACGATGCAAAGTCTGCCTCAGTGTATTTTACGAGTACCTCAGCAGAAAGAGCGGAGAGTTCAAGCTTTTCACCCAGCGCTGAGAGCCAGGACAGTCAATGCATTGCAACTGCAACAGGAAACAAGCTTCTACCTGCAGTTCAATCTAACCACAGTGTAGTACAAAGCACTTGTTAGAGTAGACTAATGGAAATTAATAGACCCACATTAGCCATGCCCATTAATTTCAGTGGGTCTTCTCTGATAAGAACAGGCACTGCATAGAACCCCTATTTCCTGTTCAGTACAACATTAATAGAAAACCTTTGTTCTCTTTTTCCAGACAGCCACTTAAATGTTTTCTTCGGGGGAAGTACCAGCAGAAATTCTCATTACCTACCTTTTCCTTTTGTCATAGTCATAAGGAAAGGAGTCTGTGGTCGGTCTTCAAATTCTTCAGAGTGGTCAATGAGTGCTTCTTTCACTGCTTGGAATCCACACACTATTATGAAGGGTTGATATCCTGCCCAAAGGGTGTAAATGTTTCCATATTGCTTTGCCATCTACCATTTGGGTCAAAAGAGAGAAGAGGAATGCTATGTTCAGATAGTTATTTCAACCGAATATGTGAGCTTCAGCCTTCCTCACCTCTTAAGCATCTCACTATACTCTCTTCTCTTGCCAGCATCTCCTTTTCTTTCTTTTGTTCCTTCCTTCATTCCAACCCATTTGTTTTACTCCCTCCTGCTTGTTTTTTCCCTGCGTGGGATCAGAGCAGCAGAGAGGCACTTCATAGTCTCCAGCCATCTGGTGACAGGCAAGTAGATGAGCCAGCCATTGCCAGAGGCTTCTTCATCATCACCATAAAAACATTTTGTGCGGGGATGTGGAAACTGGAGTCCACCAGATGCTGTTGGACTGCAACTCCCATCATCCCTGACCATTGGCCATGCTGGTTGGGGGAGATGGGCATTGTAGTCTGGAGGGTATCAAGTTGGTATAAGCTTGGTTAGAGCACTGGGTCAGGTTTATGACCCACGGTGGGTCACAACAGCAGAGGCAGAAGGTTACCCAAAGTTGTGGTAAGGAATTAAGAAGAGGATGGAATTAAGTGGTAAGGAATTAAGAAATACCTCTCTGAGTAATTTGGCGTATAAATGTATTAAACAAACAGACAAAATAAATATTGTCTTGTGTCTTCGATGGCTATATACGAGTTACAAAAGTCCCATGGCTTTCCTGGGAATAGCTAATGATCTCCTGCTACACTGCTAAGTTGGTGTCCATTCATCTATTGGAAGAGAAGAAGTGCATAGCATTCTGGGCCATGTTGCATCACACATGGGAAGAGTGGGAGGACAAGCTCCAGAGTATATTGCAATAAACTATTTCATTGGCTCAGCTGCTTGTTTTGTGTGGTGTCTTTCAGATTTAAGCATCCTTCATCCTGCAGATACAAACAACACACATAATTATAATATAGAAACTAATATAAAATGTAAAAGGAAAAGAATATGATTAATAATGAAAAGCACAAAAACATATAAAGTAGGAGAATTACAGCATGGGGAGCTAGGTGAGATCAGGAAAATACACATGCCAAAATGTTGTTGCATTTGCCATGGACTTCCGGGTTAGCGCCATCGGCGAATGGCGGAGTTCCTCCGACCGGAGGAACTGGCTCCGTGGAAACAGGAGAAAGGGGGGGGGGAACCTTGACTGTTTAAGCCTGCAGGAGAGGGAGTAAAGAAAGATAAGTTTCCACCATCTCAAACCTGGGAACGGGGTGTCAGAGACAGAAATTGTCGGAGACGTTCATTGACTGTGAATGGAGCATTTTGACAGATAGCTAAAAAAGAGAGACAAACTGATTCCAATGTTGCCTTTTGCATTTTAAAGAAACAAAGTATTTGAAAAACGAAAGTAATCTTCCTTTGTTGGACTCGCTTTAAAAAGATGGATACAAATGTCTCCTCTAGAGGGAGCTTGTTAAATTGTTGCTGCAGTCTGCTTGGGGACTCTACAGCTGTAAGATTAAGATCATGGGATCAGTCTTTTGACCTTGGACAAAAATGTGTTGGGAGGAAGCTTTGGTGCTTGCTTTTTGCAAGACAAATGCTCTGTTGGAGCAGTTGCATGAGAAGATGGATTTGATGAATGAAAAGCTGGATTTGATGACAGCTGTAGGGAATACTGACACAGAAATCATTCAGGGACCAACTCAGGAACCTGTTTTAACTGGGCAAGTACAAGTGCAGAAGATAATGGACGAGGTTGCGGTAGCACCTCAAGCAATACAAATGGAGAGATCTGAGGCCCTGCAGGAGCATAAGCCGCTGTTTTTGAAGATTGAATTTGGAGTGGGCCAGGGCAAGTCTGGAGCTGAGGAGGCTCTTAATTTCGGAGGGACTTTGAAACACGATGTTAAATATTTTTTGGATTACGCTGATGACTGCGGGGAGTGGGACTCTGGGGAATGGGCTGGTCGGATGAGGGGAGATAATTTTGGGCTGGAATCCCTCAGAGACTGATTCTTCAATGAGAAAGGAAAGAAATTAAGAAAGAGACCAACAAAAGACAAGGGAAAGTGCAAGTATAAACAAGAAGAAGATCTGCAGAAGAGGCATGGAAGAGACTTAAGAGCCTCGGACATAAGACTACCAGGTTGATGGACTAGATGGAATGGACAGTAAGGACTGACATAACCCGAGACCAGGAAGAAGGGACATTGGATGGAGATTGGAAGAAAGTCTATAAAGAAAAATTGTTATATTGGGAATTAGAGTAAATTAATGAATATTGGGGAAAATGTTGGAATGAAACTTTCTGGCTTTAGTAGAAATGATATAAGGAGTTATGTATAAATAAGTATTAAGTTTTAAGCTTTAAGGTATTTTACGGTAAGATAAGGTTAAATAAATTAAGGTAAATTGAATAACAGAATATGGTGAAAGACGGAAAGGATCTGCTGAGTTAAGTAATAGGTTAGACTGTTAAGATAAATTGTTTAATAAAAATTGAGAAAGATGGAAAGAATTTGCTGAAACAATTAATTAAGCTAGAATGCAAAAAGGGAGGTGTGAGGAGGTCAATGAAACAAGCAAATGAAAGGTAAAGATATGCAAAAAGGGATTTGTATTTTTATTTGTATTTTTACTTTTTTTGTTGTGCTGATGTATTGGTTTTTAATGTATTTTTTCTTTTTTTCTTTTTTATATATTGTGGTGTTGTTTTTTTCTTGTTTTTTCTTCTTTCTTTCTGTAATCTTGAAACTCTTAATAAATATTATTTCAAAAAAAAAAAAAGCATTTGCCATGAATGAATGCAGAGTGATCTTTGTGCTCACTCTTTTTAGAAATGCATTTTCTTATGTGTTTGTGGTCAGTGCTGTGGGGTTTTTTTAATATAATGTTCATATTAACCAGGAGTGATGGCTCTAGAAGATTTGAAAGAATGGAGGGAAAGATTTTTCATGTTAATTCTCTGGTTAGTTATAAACATACACCGAGGAAGCACATTACATGTAACAGTATACACAGTGTCATATGACTTTTTCTTTTAAATAATTTTTATTAATTTTCCAAACACATAATAAAAACAGACAATACACAAAACAAAAACATATAAACATATATAATTTCATAATCTTATTTTCATGCACCTTACTTCCCTGACTTCCCCATACCTCCCCTTTTCTGCATCCTTGTTTTACATTTCTTCAGCAACCCTCCAATTAACTAATTATTTTAATTACTTTCATTAGATTCTTTTTTCTTTCACTTAATGATTACCACTGCAATTCTCTATTTCTTAATACCTTAACATCTTAGCACTCCTCAATTTTACAACAATTTTTAAGATATATTTTAAATTTCTTCCAGTCTTCTTCCACTGTCTCTTTCCCCTGGTCACGGATTCTGCCAGTCATCTCTGCCAGTCCCAAACACAGTGTCATATGAAGAGGGGGGTGGAGGGGGTGGGTGGCCTGGATGCCACCCTGGGGGGGTGCCAAAATGGGCCACTGTCTCCCCCCAGCTGTGGAGCGGCAAGGGGCACGCAAGCAGTCAGTATGGGCGCTGCTTGCAGCATCCGTTCGAGCTGCCACTCACGCACGGTGTCCATACAAGCTGCCGTGCATATGTAGTCTTATCAGGCTGCCGGGCAGTTCGCCCCACCGCAGCCCTCAGCGAACCACCCCGGGTGACGAAGAGGGTTCCTCCACCACTGAGTATGCAACAACTTACCTTTTCAATTGTGATATAGAAAAAATAGGGGTGGTTGGCTTTTGCTGCCCAATTTCCCAAGGGACTGAGACCCCTAAGTCCATGATGGGTAAGAGATGAATGGATGGAGGGAGGGTGCAGTGAAAGCAAGGCAGATCTTTCTTTCTTCCGTTGCAACAGAGTTCCCTCCACTCCTTGTAAGGAGACAAGAGAGACCCAGAACCAAAAAGAAACATCTCTCTTAAGGATTTGCGCCATTTTGGCGTGGAGAAGGAGGACATCCCCTCTACAAACAGTCAGAAATTACATCACACACAAGGTGGGTTTACTGTGGTTGAGGCAAGCCAAGATGTGATATTCCTGAGTATTTAGCAAGTTTTACATAGTTCCAGACACGGTTTACACACCGGGGAAGAGAAGAGGCTCAAAGTAGGATCTGGAATCTATGAGTGAGATTTTAGAAATGTTTGCAGAATTGAAAAAAAGACATTAAAGACAGTGGAAAAAATTAACAGGAATGGAAAGGAAAAATGACTGATCGGTCGCAGAGTTAACAAGACAAATCAAATAAATCAGCGGAAATAGGAAAAACTGTACAGGAATTAAAGAAAAAAACAAGTTCTGGATGATGCCACACACAAAAAACACAAAAGGAAATGAAAGAGGTGAAAGAAGATCGGGGGGAACAAAGGGGATGCCGCAGAACTGACCAAAATACAGGAAGAAACTTGGGACTCCTTGACAATGATGGAGATGAAGCAGAAGGAACTGAATTTGAGATTTAGGTCAATACCAGAGGTGCCTGGGGAGGACATTAAGAGCAGATTAGTTTCTGAAATAGCAGAATGGTTAAATATGCAAGAAGAAGAAGTGAATGACCCTATATAGAGTGCATTTAGGATAAGAACAAGATCGTCAAAATCAAAGAAATTCCTCGGTGATTGTTTGGTGATATTCAATTCCGAAGAAATGAAAGATTTTTTTTTTACTAGAAAAAAGATTATGCATTGACATAACCTTTATCATAATTTTCAAGGAAATCCCAGTGAGATTTTTTTAAAAACAAAAACAGCAAAAAACCAAACCCACCCCTATAAATCTTTAATGGACATACTTCGGAGGAATGATATAAAATATAGATGGGAATTTCCAGAAGGTGTCTCCTTTTTCTACAAAGAGAAGAAATTTAACTTCAAAAGTATTCAGGAAACAGATAAATTTTGGAGGAAATATGCAAAAGAACTGGGCAAAGAAGAAATACGAGCTACACCAGAAGAAGAAGAAGAAGAAGAAGAAGAAGAAGAAGAAGAAGAAGAAGAAGAAGAAGAAGAAGAGAAGAA